TGTGTGTGTGTGTGCAGATTCGAAAAGACTCTCGTGGTGGTGCTGGAGTCCACAGCTGCGCAAAAACGCGCATATCCCTCGCTCTTCAAAGCTGCTCCCACGGCACCAGCTCCGCAACTAGCTGCCCAGCCTGTGCGCGAGAGCACGGGGCGTCGTAGCGTCAGCGTCACTCCAGGGCCGGGAAGAAGTGATGCGCCGAACGGCACGAGAAGAGTTACGCGCAACAATGGCCGGACACCCTCCGCCTCGCCTGCACCTTTTGCTGATGGAATCGACTCCATGCGGAGTGCGAGCAGACCGGCTTCTAGTTCAAGAAATGCCGCACTTTTCAGGTCCACTCCTAGCGAATGGACGCCTACGCCCACGCCTGAGCCAGAGACCTATCGCGCACAAGCTGCTCGACATTTGCCGCACCAAGGTGTCGCTGATGCTGCTGCAGATCCAGCTTCGGTGACCGATGCTCGCTACAAGCGAGCACCCTCGGTTGCATTTGGCAGAGGGGACGAGTCTGAGCCAGTGTCAACGTTGGAAGTGGAACATGGCGAGGAAGCTGACGCTGCCGCTCACAGTGAACCTGGCGGGGCAGTTGGTCTGGCACAGCGATTGTACGAGCGACAAAAGATGCCTCTGGGCATGGACGAGGACGACGTGGAGCTACTGGAGCGCTGATGACGAAGACCTTGGCTGCTCGAGCACATTTTGTAGGCAAAAAATACTCGCGCCACGCTTCGCAATCAATATCTTATTATTTTTCGGGTCGAGTGTATGCTGTATAATCAAATCGTTTGGGAACAGTCCTCGGGGGAGCTTGCTGTGCGAGGGTTGAGTGGCTGGTCTGCTTAGCGTACTGCTGAGGTTGAGAGAAGGTTGACGAGGGCGCGGCATATCCACCGGGAAATGGAGTCACGTGAACTTGGTCAGAGTGAGAAAAGTCGGCTGGGTTGATTCGATCTGCACCAAGGCTCGGCGTGGAAGGTTGCGTATAACCCCACGAGCTTGCTCCTGGAGATGCAAGAGGCCCGCTGTGGCCGTGACCACTATGCAAGCCATGCCATGGCTGAGTTTGATGCATTGCTGGGTTTGGATTGACTTCGTGGCTCGTGTACGCTGTGGTGTGCGGCTGGCCGTAGAATGCGTGCGGTCCAGAGTCTGAGGTGAGCGGAATGGCTGCGTGTGGGTCGTATTCAGCGCTTTCGCGCGGCAGAATGGGAGACTGAGCAGACGAAGGTGGGTTGTGGTGATCTCGCAATGGTTGATGAGGGCGATGTATATCGCGGTATATGTCTCCGGTGTGTTGCTGACCCGGCGACTGGAAAGGCGAATAAGTATGGTTCGTGCCCGCATGACTTGGATAATTCTGCTCTTGAGCTGGTAAAGGACGCCCGATAGAACCCTGTCCATTTGCCAAACCAGGACCGGTACTCAGTAATCTCGTATACTGGCCCGAAGCTTGAGCCGCAGGCATGGAAGGCTCCTGATTTGGATTTTGTATGTCCCAACCTCGTCGCAAACCTTCAGGGAAATCGTGCTCTCGGGTCGGTCTTTGAGTGTACATACTACCCTCGTGGCTTGCATAATCTCCTTGGCCTCCAAGGGGTGGGGCAGGAATATCAAAGCTGTACCCGCAAGTACTGCATTCGGTCTTGATGACGCGGCCGTGGGGTCCCGATGTCAGAATTCGGACCGTCGCGGTCAGACCGGCGAGCAAGGGCGTTTGACAAGCCGAGCACGAAGAATGCTTTACTGTGGGATCTCTGGAAGGAGAAGCCAAGATGATCATCAGTACAAGGGCGAGCAGGCAGGCCTAGGCAGTCTAGATTCCATTGTGCAAAATACTCACAATCGTATAGTCGCCTTCGCGGCCAAGCTGCGAGCGTCCTTGACAGCTTGCCTGGCGTCGTTCATATCTCCCTGGTGCAATGCTCCCGAATGCCCTTGTAAGTCATTCTCTGGCGAGAAAGCGGCACGAGCTGCATGCATTCCTGCCTTCTGGTGCAGCATGGATAAGGTGTTCACCGTCTCCCACTGCGGTACTCGCAAAGCTGAGTTGGGCGGTTCCGGTCTCGTCACCGGACGAACAGGATTTGGAGGTACTGGCGGAAGGGCGGTGGGGAATCTTGTCGGCACGTAATCAGCCCTGTGACCTTGCGATAGGGTCGGCGGTGGTCCCGGCGCCTTCACAGGATGCGTAGGTGGGGGAGGCGGAGGAGGGCCTGGCGGCCCACTACCACGCGCTGGAGGTCTTGGAGGGGGACCAGGCGGCGATTGAGCGTTGCCTCCTCCACTGATGCTGCTGCTTGTCGAAGCACTTCGGTGCTGACCAGGTCTCTGGCGGCTAGGTGGATTGAAGGGGTATTGTTGAGGCTTCGGAGGTCTGATGACCACGCCTGGCTTCATGGGCAGCGCAGCCGTTGTAGTGGCGAGAGGTGGTTTTTGTGGCAAGCCTGAGGAAGACGAAGCTGCCGGCCCAGCAAAAGGTCGAGCAGTGCGGGCTTGAAGGCCTAGCATTCGCGCCAGTCCCTCTTCCGACGCAGAGACTGAGGTTGTTGGAGCTGGATCTTGGGGCTCAATCCACTTCTTGCGAAATGCTGCGAGACGTGCGGCTGCGTCTGCTGGAATCTCCGTCTTCGAAGAAGGGGACAAGGAAGTGCGCGGTGGGGCTTCGATGAGTTCAGATGAAGTCTCGCCTGCAGAATCCGTGTTCTGAGTTCCTGCTTTGACATTCGCCGTCGGCGGGCTGTCGGGAGTAGAGTTCGGGGCGACCACAATTGGACGACCTTGCTGCTCGTCGATAATCTTTCTATCTTCGCGATGATCTTCTTGTCTCGCCGCAATGTCGTGCACGCTCTCCGCACGTCCGGCATCGTCATCCGCCCAGCGCGGTGCCTGCACAACATCCTGCGGGCCAGCCGCACTTGCATTCGAAGAAGCCGTGCTCTCCTCGGCAACGGCTTCTGTCCTGGGGCGTGCAGTGCTTGATGTCTCCAGTTCCAAGAGCTCGTGTTGGTTAGAGGTAGAGGCAGCCTGGCTCGCTCGGAGCACGGAGTCGCCCTGTTCTTGTATTCGCTCTTCTTGCTTAATAACGATCGGGCGAGGCTTGTCCTGAACTGCTACGGCCCCTGGCGTTGGCAAGTCGGCCTCGATTTCAGAACGTCCACCTGGCAACGCTAATGAGGGCATGGACTGGTTGTCAAGCTGAGCAGCAAGGCGATCAGCAGGACATTTCTGCACCTCCGTCACAGCTGGCAGGAGGAGATTGGTCTCTGTCCGAGGTCGCTTCGCAGCCTCCGCTGAGCTCCCATCTGAAGCTTGCCATCCTTCACTCGCTTCCGCTGCCCTCTTTAGACTGTGTTGCGGGCCATTCGATGTTCGCTCTTGTCCGACAGCCCCATCAATCTGCGCACTTGGCTGTGTTGAGTCCTCGATGCCGACTTTGGGCAGGGTGATCTGAGCAGGTCCTGATGCATCCTGAGTGGCACGATCTTGCACAATGCGTGTTGACACTGGCTCCTCCTGAGCGTCATTAGTACTCCCGGCGCTCGCCTGGGCTGCACTAGTTTCGGCGCCGCGCTCTGCACTGACGGTTTCTTGCTCTTCCATGCTATGGACAGAAGAAGGAAAGAGGTGGCTCGCTGCAGAGTAGGTCGAAGGGCAACGAGATGAGCAGCGATAGCTAGATGGCGAGGCCGGAAGCGATTTTGAGCGCGCAGGAAGCCAGAGCAGATCAGCTCAGCTCGCAACCCTGCTCCAAGGGTGATCAGAGTAAGCGGCCTCGTCTGTGCTTGGCACTCAGAGACGCGTGCAGTAGAGTGAGACTGCAGGGTCTAGGAATTCGTGAGCGTGTTCCACAGAACAGTTCAGGCAGCTGCGGAATCGGTCGAAGGAGAGGTAGGGCAAAGAGCACACTCTCTTGTAGAGGTGCGACGTGTGAGAGATGATGCAAAGCGGCTGATACGGAGCACTTGTGCAGCTGTCGCCTCTGCAGTACAGAAGCAGTGATTCTGACCGCGTGACAGACCCAGCTGAGAGGCAAGGAAGGAAGAGAGAGGGGCTGAGACACTCAAAGCAATGAGTTTGAGAGACGGCTTGATCTTTTGTAGGAAGCGCGGCCTCTGGCAATACAACGAAGACGAAATGCCGAGCTGGTTCCGAGTGAAGCACATGGGTGTCGGGGTTAGCCAGAGTCGCAAGAAGGTAGCGTGAGCGATGAAGTGAGCCAGTAGCCTCACGGACGCGTTTGAGAGCTAGATCCACTGCACACTTTGGAGTAGCACCAGGAGCGAGCGTGTGCAGTGCAGCAACGAAGCAGGGATTAGCTTGAGTCCAGCCTGTGGGTCATTTGAGGAAGTGATTGCTTGGTGTTCGGTGCAAGGTCAAACAGCATCGTGCCAGACGGACCTCAATGAGAGATGGTTCGTGGCAAGTTCTTTTTTGCCATGACGCGCGCGCCGCTGTTGATGATATCACGTGATGCTTTTGCATGTCGTATCGGAGGATAGCCCCGACGCGCCAAATTAATGGAACATCTAAGAATTAAGACTAATAGATCCACGTAGTCGGTAATAAGCTACTAGAATACCAAGACCAATAGCGGACTCAGCACCAGCAATAGCAATAATATAGATACTATGATGCATACGCTGATGTGCTGAGGGGCGCGACATTGTGATTGCGTTCATGTCGGTGACGATCCTCCGCGCTGCGTGACTTTGCTACATTTACGATTTTGTATATAGCTTATATATAGCTTGCTGATGCTTGAAGAGATAAGCGGAGTCAAGTGAGTCGGTGCCGCTTGGACTGGTTGAGCGTGCGCGTCCATATAGCACTCAGACTCTCTGACTGCTGCAGGCATGTTACAAGCCAGCTGGCGACGACGCGACCAAAGATCTTCACGGCGGTGAGATCTCTCGCAGCCAGTCGTGAAGGATCGAGCTGCATCATGAATAGCAGCGCAGGAACACAGTTTGCGAGTGTGGCAAGAGTTCCTTATCGCTTGAACGAGGTGTGCATGAGGCTTGGCTTGCGGTTGGTGCAGCGCCGTGCCCGCCGTTGCCGGAACCCGTCTGAAAGCGCAGATGGAGTGGTGCAGAAGCTTGCGAGCCGACTCTCGCATTCATTCAGGATCGAGAGAGCGCTATCAGCATAGTCGGGGGAGACCTCAAAATTGATGAACGGAGGCGGGCGTCCCGCAATTATTGGCTCCCGAACTGGGCTGCAAAGGGCCAAGCCACGACACCGCCGACACTGGTACTCCTCTACCGCTACTCCTACTCCTCCTCCTACTAATTGCTACTAAACCACCACTCAGCATACTCGTGGGATTGACAGCGCTCTTTCCAAGCTTTTGAAAGCAAAATCGTATGCTGCTCGCTATACGGGCGCACGCGCCTGCCTCACCGGCACGATGTCGCCTCGGCATCCGGGCCGCCATGCGGTTCTTGTATAGCGCGGCGAGCCGCTCGCGTGTACGCGTGTGACCGCGCACGCGACACGCGCGAGCGGGCTGGGTTGGCCAGCGACCGCGGCGATTAGCCCGGTGTGAAGATCATGCATGCTGATGATGCGGGGCTGAAGAGGACACGAACGCACCTGCCTTCCGCCCAAGCCTGCAGCAGCAAGCCCATGCATGTCTGCTTACAGTATCTATGCTTTCTTCGCAGCCAGTCCGGCTCAAAGAGATTGCTCGAATGCCGACCTCGACGTGAGCTTGCTGCGAAAGCAGACACAGCTCTTGTGCATGCACCTACCTAACCCATCAGCAACAGTCGTCGTGGACTTGATGTGACCTGCATGTGTGCCTCGGCACTTTCGCCATGCTCGACCAGCTCCGATACTCAACTGTATAGGCACAGGACGGATATGGGCTCAAGACTGGGCTCGCCCTGTGGCACGCTGCGAGCTGCATGTCCCTAATGCTGCCTATCAGTGGTGCCCATCCCAGCAGCCTGATTGATGAGTGGCTCAAAATTTGAGCCAAACTTCTTCTGAACCCCACGCCGGCTTGCATGGCGCTACACTACAGCTCTCCTCAATCTCGAGCAGCCTCGCTTCTTCATCAGTCTCGGCTTTGGCGCGATAAGGGCTGTTCCTGACATCTGAGCGCTCCAGCAGCCACGCTCTCCTTCAAAAGCCTCACACCTGCTCACGCGAGCCCTTCAGACACCCTTGTTCCTTGCTCCTATTGGCTTCAACAACCCTCTGTCCGCCTTTTTCTCACCCCTTCCCCTCCCTCCCCCGCTACCGTCCACACAGGCCTTTCAACATGGCCTCAGAGTTGCCCAAGTGGAATGACGACAAGCCGGCGCCTTTGGTAAGTTGTCCCTGGAGTCTGCAGTCCTAATTTCTGGCAGGACGCATTAGCTCACCGATCATCCCTACCTTGTTGACACAGGCGTCGGATGCGACCAAGGACCGCATCTCTCCTCGCCATTCGCACGACATTGAGGATCAAAAGCAGCAGCCCTATTCGACAGAGTCTGCTTCTCACAAGAGCGATCCCACAGCTCCGCACGACCTGGAAGCCAAAGCGCTCTACGACCGAGAGCATGACTTGGATGAGGACGAGAAGAAAAGCGACGGGCCCATTGCACAGCTCAAGATGCTGTTGCATTCTAGAGGTGCCGTGATCGTCCGAGACTTTGGTCTCATTGCTCTTCTTGTAAGTTTGCAAAAGCAGCTGCAGGCACGAGCGATGGGCAGTCGGACACAAGAGCTAATGAGCTTGCGGTTCGGTGCATTCAGCTGGGTTGGTGGATCCCATCCATTATCAACGAAAAAGTCAGGCATCGATGGATTGTAGCTACCATCTTTAGTTGGTTCTTCATCCTTCTTATCCTGATGCACAAGTCGCGCTACATTCCGCAAAGGCCAATCGTTCGGGTCATATCTGCCGTCTGGACGACGGCCGCCGAGAAGCCCTGGTCCCGCATTCCCTACAAGGGCAAGCTCGTCGTTGGCTGGCTGTCCTTGGCGGTGTTAGTGTTTGGCTCTACGTATGGGCTGCCCATCGAGCAGGGCAGCTCTCTGGGTCAACGGACCGTTTCGCTTGTCGGCTACTGCCTCATCTACGCCATCATCTTTGCTTTTTCATCCAATTACGGTGCCGTTCAGGCCAGGACTACGATTCTTGGAATGGGTCTCCAATTCATCGTTGCTCTGTTCGTTTTCCGCACTGGAGCTGGTCTGTCCCTCTTCTCTTGGATCGCCACTGCTGCGTCTGATCTGCTTGCGCAAGGGGTCAATGGAGGAGCTGCATTCGTGAGTCGCCTTTGAGAACGTGGAACACGCATGTTTCCGCCCTAACAACCCACTTTCCAAATGTTGGTGTCTTGTCGCCCAGTTCTGGAGAGACTTCGTCGAGAAAGGCTACTTCTTCACAAATGTGCTGTCCTCGATCGCATTCTTCGTTGCCTTGTGCATTGTGCTATTCTACATTGGCGTCCTTCCATGGCTTATCAAGAAGGCTGCTTGGGTGAGTCTGGAGCTGAACGTTCCGCAAACAGGAAACGAATCTCTTCTCATCCTGATCTGGCTCGTTACCTCGTGCCCGCGCAGTTCTTCTACAAGGTCTTCGGCATCAGCGGTGCTGAAGCAATCGTCGCAGTCGCATCGCCATTCATTGGTCAAGGAGAGAATGTCGTTTTGACTCGGCCATTCGTCAAGACCTTCACTCGATCCGAGTTCCACCAAGTGCTGGTTTCCGGTTTCGCGACCATTGCTGGATCAGTGCTGGCAGCGTACATCTCTATCGGCGTCAATGGCACGGTTTTGGTGACTTCCAGTGTCATGTCGATCCCAGCAGCTATCGCGGCCTCCAAGTTGCGCTACCCCGAGACGCAGCACTCGTACACGGCCGGCAAGATTCAAGTCTCTGCCCAGGAAGATGAAGTGGACCGCGCCAACGATGTCTTCCACTCCCTCTCCAAAGGCGCCTGGTTCGGTGTGCGCGTCGCTGCGCTCATCTTTGCAAACGTGTTGGCCATCGTCAGTCTGCTCTACACCATCAACGGTTTGCTGACCTACATCGGTCGCAGCTGGTACATCCCTGACGACAACCCACTCAAGCTTGAACTCATCTTTGGCTACCTGCTCTGGCCGCTGACATTCTTGTTGGGTGTCCCTGGTCACGAGACGCTTGCAGTCTCCAAGCTCATTGCAGTCAAGATTATTGCGAACGAGGTGAGCACGTCGTGTCAGTGCCTTGTCTGATTGCTCCACTTGCTGACCCAGCACTCTCCTCCGCCTCTCCAGTTCGTCGCGTACGACACTCTTCAGAACATCGTCATGCCAAACCCAGAGACGCGATTGAGCCCCAGAGCCTACCTGATTGCCCAGTTCGCTCTCTGTGGATTCGGCAATATTGGCTCTCTTGGTATCAACGTCGGCATCTTGTCTGCCATTGCGCCCACTCGGTCAGCCACCATCGTCAAGTTGTGCCCCAGCGCTTTGTTCACTGGTATCCTCGTCACCTTGAGCTCCGCCGCTGTGGCAGGCATTGTGGGCATCCCTGCAGAGTATGTTCCAGTCGCTCCAGCTGCTGCTGCATGAGCTCGATCTGCCCTCTATCTGATGGTCGCAGGCACATTGAGCTGGCTACCGCGCACCTCTTGTCTTGTATCTACGTCACCGGCCTTACGTCTTCCGAACCTGATGAATGCACATTGTGTCTTGTCAACACGCCGCCATGACTGATGTTGGTGTAGTTCTGCAGTCAGTAAGTCCGCTTGTACTTGATGCAAGCCTGACACCTTTTGACTATTGGAAATTGGACTCACCAAACATCATGATGCCAAACTCGAGTCAAGTGTCTGATTTGCAAAAGTCTGAATCAAGATTAAACAAGGTCATTGACGTTTTGCAAAAGGTAAGGTATTAAACGGTACGGAAAGCACTTTCGCGCGATACGGGTAAGCTAGAAGGTGGCCTGGTCGCCCGCGTGACACGTGTCATCACGTGCGTGTGCGTGCGCCCTTCATGTTCCGCGACATCGCCGGCCGTTCCTGCGTACGTATACGCTCGAACGACAACAGCGATGCACTTGGGACAGCGAGCGTTCTTCCAGATTCCCAACTCCAAGGCGCGATCGAAGCTCTGAACTACGGCCCCACGACACTCATCATCCTACCGCAGCAAGCCTCTCTCTCATCGCCAGCATATCGCTGAACGGAGCGCTCATCCACTCGAGTGTAGGCTATTTACGCAAGAAGACTGCAGGAGCCCATCAGGAGATCCCTTCTCCCAGGCGATACATCCACTGCAACCCGGTGGATTCGACGTCTAGCGCACAATTGCACGACCGCTCATCCTCTGACACACTCGAACATGTCGGACGCAATCAAGGATCTGGTAGAGATTCCCCAGAGCTTTGTCAAGGATGGGACACAGGTGAGAATCCGGCGGCGATCGGTGATGTTGTTGGGGCGAGGGAATGGCGCGACGATAGTGTGCGATCATTGGTCCGCGGCTTTTGCTGACCTAGCGAGCTTTTCAGTTCTTCAACAAGTGCACCAAGCCTAACAAGAAGGGTGAGTGGGTTGTGACTTCGCTTCCATTGGACAGGAAGCGTATAGGAGGCCTTGTCACATGCAGCAGCGCTGACCCGCCCCATCGATGCACCCGCACCCTCTCTTCCCTTCAGAGTACCTTCAAATCTGCAGGGCTGTAGGCATGGGCTTCGTCGTCATGGGCTTCATTGGCTACGTGAGTGGACGCCGGCTCGGTGAAGGCCGATTACCCTCAATCTAACCTCCGGACCACAATCTGCGCGCATCTTTGCAGTTTGTCAAGCTCATTCACATTCCTCTGCGACAAATCGTGAGTGTATCCTTGCAACAGGCACGGCATCATTTCGAAAAGCTCTCTCGCTGATGCTTTACGCTTTCCGTCTCTCCTTTGCTGCCAGCTTGTGTGAGTTGTAGACGGCTGCGGCGGGAGCGCAAGGCCGTGTGGACTCGCTGGCTCGCTCAGGTGACTGATTTGATGACGGGACGTTCTTGTCTCTTACAGCGGATGAGGGCAGACATTGGGAAGGGATGAGCACGGGAGGGTAAAGACGGATGTGAGTAGCACAATGCGCGGCAAAGACACTGGACTCGACTAAACTATCAAGATGCTCTGCTCTTCGCCCTGCTGTTCGTCGGCAGGATTTTTTTGGATGGCTCTCAGGCCGAGCTTCTTGGACGGTATCGTCGATCGGATCGTTTCCCGGAACGGGCGATCACGTGTCCAGCACCTTGTCGTGCTCCAGTGGGTCTATTAACAATCAGATGCAGAACGCGAGTTGTCACCAAGTCTCGATCAGCTCCCCATGCTTGCATACAAGCATTGCACTTCAACATGCTGCCCGAGGTGGGCGAATTGGCATTCGAGGACATCGCCTTCACCTCATTTCCGCGTTCCAACGGTAGGCGAGGTAGGCCAAGAGCGATGGGTAAGTGCTAGAAAAGCCTGCGACGCACGCAGCCGTGAGGGGCATTACGCAAGGTTGTCGGAGATCATCGGACGAGTCTCACAGCTGTCTGTCACATCGACAAGTGACCTCTTGTGCTTGTTTCGCGACCTACAAGCGCTTAGAGCGAGCTCGGTAGGGACGAGACTGGGAGAAATGGCTGATGCCGACTGCTGCGAACCTCCTGCGAAGCTGGCTCTGGTTCTGTGAGCAAAAAGCCCTTCCTATCCTTTGACTGCTCAGTCCACCGACTGAGTAGCAGAGCCGATAGGACGACGCCCGCTTGCGTGAAGTGCAGCGTACAAGTGCACGTGCCCGCTGCTCGGAGTCTACTCGGCTGCTCATGGCTTTCGATCTTGAGCAAGTTTGGGCCAACAGCGCGAAAGCCCAAGCCAAGAGCAAAAGAATCGCGAGAAGGTGAAGAGATGTGGACGCAGCGAATCAGGCACGGACTTGGGGAGTTTGGCGGAGCAGTTAGCCAAGCAGGAACGTGTTCGACGTGCTCGAAAAGGCATGAGAATAGTGGTTTCAGGTCGGGCACTGAAAGGTGTAACCTTTGCGCCTGTCCGGACCTGCTGAGATTTGCTAGAGCACGTGTTCTCCTGTCAGACTTCTACATGAGCCGATACAGCAAAAGCGGAAGAGGGAGCGTGAATGCGTCGTCGATCGTGAGAATGGCATGGCGTGGTGCGTGGACTGCTCTCCCTGGGAGGTGTGAGCATCAACTCCGATCGAGATTGCGATGCCGACCGGACAGATCGCGGCAACGCGCAGGAGTTGTTCTTGTTTTGTGAATCGTGTCTATGATGCATAGAATCAGCAATGGAGCAGACAGCTGGCCTGACAGCTTTCGTCGTCCTCGACCAGCATTCCCATCAAAGCGCTGTCCGCTCCTTCCTATCACCTTCTGCCGACGTGATCGAGTCGTGGACTTGCTGCCACTTGTGCCGAAACGTCAGCAAATTGAATCAAGTACGTCTGTAGCGAAGAGAAGCCTGCACGGACAAATCGCACCATCAGCAGCATCCCGCACAACGTATGGCGGAGGTTGCGAGAGCCACGAGCGCGGCGGCAAAATTTGGTTCGCCATCTCATTCGCTGCTCCTCTTGCTGCTGCAACGCTGCCGTGGCTGCTGCTGCGAGCATGCAGATGCACAAAGCGTCGAGAGTCGAGGGAGGCCTGCCCGCTGCTGAGCTGGAAGAAGCAATTTCTGGTGCGTGCGAGGGTGGAGTTGGGGGCAGCAGCGGAGCTCCGGGAATATGTCGGAGTTGCGCCATTCAGATTCGAGCATCACTGCATCATCATTCACATTCACACGCTTGCTCATCTGGTGAAGCGTGATGAGTTGCATTCACATTGTGGTTCACGTTGAGTGGAGAACTCACCAAGATGAGTCGTGAGTCACGAGTGGAGATATCAAATTCATGACTCATTCAGGCTCTCATCCATCCGAGCTTACACGTTGCTCGATGAGCATCTTGGCCGGCGCGGCGCGGCGCGGGGGGAACGTGCTCGAACGCGCGCACCGCGCCCAACCGCGCTAAGACCTGCCATCTAACAAATGAATCGCGAATTCGCCGTCCGTCCGGGCCTCCATGCACGCGCATATTCCGCGCGCGCGCGCTCAACACCGCGGCTCGTGCTGAAGCGGGCGGCGGCGCGGACACGACCAATCGTGAATATATGCATGATGCTGGCTGCAATTCGCCCGCCATACACCAACCACATTGCTAGCTGCTACGCTCTCCCCATCGGCATGCTCGTCACTCTGAAATTGACCAGCACAAGCACACTTGCACATTTGCCGTCTTTCAAATCTTCATGTGTACCGGCAACGCCTCATCATTGTCTCTCAGCAATTAAGTTCTCATCAGACTCCATCATGGCGCCCCAATTTAACTTTGATAAACTCCCACATGCGCACTTACCACCAACTCCCCATGCTTGCCCACATCCACGCATCGACCCGACCCCAGCATAACCGTCAGCCCGCTTCATATCTGCCTCTTCTCTGATTGCAAGCCCCTGCCGCCTTGCTCTTCACTGTTGCGCCCATAGACGCCCATGCGCCCTCACTCCGTTGGCGCTACCCTATCTCTAAATCCCTTGCCGAGAAGCACACCTCACACCTCTCCTTCTTCTCGTGTCTGTGCGCGTGGACCAAGTGAAGTACGCACGATCGAATCACGCCTCGAGCCAATAACCGCACAGACCCCGGACGTCCGATTTGCGGGCCGCTTCGCTTCCACGTGCTGGCCTCAAACTCAATCTGGGAAGCGGGCCATAGCTCATTTGCCTCTCGAAGCTCATACCGGCCAGTCCGAGTATACATCCGCGGAGTGCGCAATCAGCGCAGCCTCGAGTGGTCTAGCCTGGTGCCTGATATCGCTTCGCTCGACCTGCAACGCTGCTTCGTGCCCCAGCGCTTGCCTTGTCGCCATCGGCTTCAGCACCTTGCGGGCTTCATCGTTCATCCCGCTTTTCTGCCCAGCCACATTTCGCCTCTCTTCCTCAATCTCCAATCGAGAAATTCCTTGAACCGACAATCCATCGCCCGGCTTTCCACCTCACAATACCAAAAGACAGGCCGCGGTGCCAAGCGGAACTTGCGCGGGACCGAGATAGCCCAGCTTGCCAAGGCGCACATCTCGTCAAGAGGGGCTCGAGTGTGGAAATTGCAGACGCAGCTGCTACAATATTCAAGCATTCTCCATCTCGATTCGGGCTGTTCACTTGCGGGCATCGATTTTCTCCTTTTTGGTCCAGGCTCAGTTGGCAACGTTTACGTCCCAGACGGCATTCCATACACACGACCGGCACTTGAGCACTAAAGCAGGTTCCAAACTGCGCATCTGGGCGGCCGAGTGCATGCATGCATGCCAATTGAAGGTATAGCAAGTCACAGTCCATCAATCAATCACACAGCTTTCGCACTGCATCAGCATCGATTAGGCAAAGCACTCGCGGCCGCCTTTCGAATTGAAGCACAATCAACATGAATTCCACAACCACCACGTCACCCAGCTCGCCGGAAAGGCTGAGTGTGGCAGAGGAAGCCAGGCAGCTAAACGATGCTGAGCGGTCCCTTGACTCCGCCTTAACCTCATCAGGCCCCAGCAGCCAAGCACGCGAAGGTCATTCATCATTCAGCCCAGACCACGAGAAAGGCAACAGCAGGGGGGCAAAGGCTGGCTTGGCGACCTTCGCAGCCAGGAGAAGGGGACTGATCATCATCTTTGCTGGGTGCATCGTCGTCATCATGGTCATCCTGGCTCTGGTCCTTCCACTAGCTCTCATCTTGCCTCACCGGCAAAGCGGGTCAGCCAAGGCCACCCCAACCGCCGCGGTCAGGGACGGCACATTGATATCTGGCAGATTGCTCGATGGCTACGAAGTGTTTGGTGGTGAGTATGCAAGTCAAATTGCCTTGCACAGCGATGCGACTTCGGTCACAACTCTGATCCTCGTACCATCCTTCGCCTCCTCTGCAAGGTATACGATATGCGGCTGCGCCTGTTGGCGATCTTCGCTTTGCACCACCCCAACCGCCTCCTTCGCCGATACAGGTGGCCTCGGTCAGCATTCCCAAGTCCAAGTCCAAGTCAAAGTCAAGTTCACACAAGACCAAAGCCTCGGCTCACTCATCAGCTGAACAAATCAGTAAAGGCGGCAACACGGTCGCCGACTCCGGGGACGCCATTTCAGCTGGAGCTAGTCGCAGAGATGCACCACCTGAACTGAAGTTGCGTACCGTGCAAGCCACTAACACCGGCTTGGTCTGCCCACAGGATGGAGACATCAGTCGTCAGGACGAAGACTGCCTTTTCGCCCAGATCATACGTTCGCCAGGCGTGCTGCAGAACGCTTCCCTGCCAGTCTTGCTTTTCTTCCACGGCGGAGGGGGACAAGCTGGATCTGGGGCTTCGTATATCGGCAGCATGATCAAGATGCTCGATGCTGGGCGCAAAGCCGGTGGACCCGATGTGATGATCGTCCTCGTCAACTATCGCCTCGGCTCGCTCGCTTTCTTGGGAGGCACAGAATTCGATGAGCTGAGGCAGAGTCGATCTGGCAATGTCGGTCTGAATCTTGCTTTCCAAGACATGCGCCAGGCCGCAAGGTGGACGCGCGACAACATCGACCAATTTGGAGGAGATCCTGATCAGATTACCATCTGGGGCCAAAGCGAAGGCGCTTTTGGCGTTGGCTCGCTGCTTACCGCATATCCGTCCTCGGTAGAAGAGCCGAGGCCCTTCGCGGCTGCGATATTGCAGTCGGGCGGACCCGGTGGTCAGCGTGAGTAGACTCGGATCCATCGTGTTGACACTCGCGAAGGCCCTGGTTGATTGTCTTCCGATCCGCTGCTCTTACAGCCATGCTGCCTCAAAGCTATAAAGACGATCAGTTCAACCGCGTCCTCTCCGACACCGAATGCGGCAGTCTTGATCAAACGAATTTGACCTTGGCTGAGCCTCCAAGGGCGTTTGACCCTGTTGCTGCCACTGCGCACCTGGAATGTCTTCGAGCGCTTCCCTGGCAGAAGCTGAGAATGGTCACCAATGCCGAGGCAGACAGAGCTCTGAAGCCAGAAGGGTATATTCTCGGTTCCTACGCCTGGACACCCGCTATCGATGGCGGCCCAGAGGAAGGAGGTCTCTTCTCCGACAGGGCGAGCGAGTTGCTGTCGAGCCGGCTATACGCCCGTGTGCCGATGCTGTCCGGTGATGATGAAGACGAAGGAACGGTCTTCGCGCCGGATACCTTCAACGACTCGCCCTCTTTCGAGGATTGGCTGGGCAGGATATACTTCGCGGGGCCTGACAGAGCCAATGCTTCGGGTATTGCCAGCTTCAACGACACGATGGACGCCCTTCGAAGCGTGGTCACAGCTTATCCTGACGATCCCAGCCTCGGATCACCATTCTCGGCTGCGGACCCCACGGATCGGTTCTACGGACCGACCAATCAGTACAAGAGGGCAGCGGCAGTGTATGGCGACATTCGTTGGCATTCGAATAGGAGGCTCTTCCTACAGCGTGCAGCGGCCGCTAATGTGCCCATCCATGCCTACCTATTCTCCAATCGAAATCCTCGCGCGCCAGTTGAGCTCGGGGTACCTCATGGCGCGGACCTGGACATGAGTGAGTACATTGTGCGCGTGCTGCGCGCCGGCGTCGTTCCAGGCGTGCTGACACGAGACTTGAAATTTCAAATCAGTTCTTCAAACTGTCTCGAGTCCCCTGGGCGCCATCATGGCTCGCCAATGGCTTACCTTTGCCGCGACGCACAATCCCAACGCACAAGGCTGTGAGTACGATGGCGCTTGCTGGATTGCTCGTGCGCAGTGAGCTGATCACCTGCCTCGCGCGCGGATCGAAAGTGCCCGTATGGCCCGCCTATGGGTCCTCTTCGTCAATCTTGCTCTTCGACCACAACGCCACGAGCGTGTCCGCCGATGATTACCGGAGCGAGGCCATCAACGTGCTGAACAGCGACAACGTCTTGGCGGTCACTGGTAGGTGACCCGCGCCCGGATCAGCAGCTGCACGAAGCACACGCACACACTCTTCATTTTTTTGCCTGCCATCATGGACGCTCTAAGCTTCGGCCTCGCGCCCAAGTCTCTTACCCACTTTTGCCATGTGCTTGCGCACTTTGGAGCGCGACATTCCTCGCATCTGCCGTCGTCCACTCGAATCGCCATGTATGCTTGTACAACACCACTACTAATATTACTATAGCTGAAGGCCCGCGCAATTCAATGCTGCCTTAGTCGAATCACGCAGATGTAGGCTGGCAAGTTTTGGGCCAATCAAGAATGAAGTTGCCGCCCTGAGCGTTGGCGGTGTCACGAGGGTTGCGGGCGGAGCAGCACCGCGATGCACAGGGCGGGCTCGAGAAATCTCGAGTCGTGCAGGCGCGGCGCAAATTCTGCTCCAGATTGAGACGCTTCATGGCCAAGCTGTGACCGCATAGCGGTGGAGATTGAAATTTCGAGGGCAGATACCGACTTCGGAAGTACTTGGGTGTATGTGCATACAGTAAGGGAGGGCAAGAGC